AGGTGTTGGCCAAGCTGGGCCGTGGGCCTGTGTTCCTGGCCGGAGAAGTGCTGGAGTGTGTGATCACCTTCACCAACCCGTTATCAGCCTCATCCACCTCTGCCAGCAGGTACGAGACTGGTGCCAATGGACCTTTCTCTGCATGGAGCCTCCAAGTGTTGCAGCTGTTTGGGTCCCTCCAGAGGGAACAGCCCTCCCAGTCTCCCTCTGGATGTAGTCATAGCTGGGTTGTGAGGCAATGGTGCCAGCTCAGACACATGTGAGCTGAGGGTACTTTGTGCCATCGCTGTTTCGAGGCCGGAGCTGAGGTAATTGTTCTGGCTTTCTGCCCTCGAGGAGATAAAGAAGTGTGCAGTTAGAGATGCTCCTAACTGCCCTTTAGGTGAGCCCTCAGTGACAGTGTTACTGGCAGAAAGTGAAGCCAAGCTGGCTGTCAAAGTGGGATATCTGGTTACACCAGGGTGACAGTCCCATACAGCAGCACATCCAGGCAACATCATTATTTCCTGCATTTATGGAAGGAGTTCTCTCTGCCCAGCAGTGCTGGATGGGTTGGTATGATCCAGAGCTGACAGGCCTTACTCAGGGTCAGAAGGAGAAAGCCGCCTGTGGTGGCATTTTCTGTGTCCCAGCCTTTGAGTGGTGCATCTCCCTTTATCATTCATTACTGTCCCCAAAACAGGTGTTGAGGAAAGATGAAAAGATGGGAGCTTCCCCCATTGGCTCACAGAGTGTGACTCCGTGTCATAAGTAATAACCCAAAGCCTCCGTGTCCGCTGAGTGTGTGGCCTTGTCTGATTGTTCAGAGGGTGGAGAGTGCTTTCTCATCTTGAGCCCTTCCCGGGAAGTGTCTGTTTCCAGAGCTGTCATGTTCAGCATCTTTTCATCATCAGTATGAGATTCACACATGGTTATTCTGGTGGGCTCACTTCCAGTGCTTGCAGTCTCAGCAGCAGAGCAATCTCTTGTATTACTGGTGTAGGGCTTCTGTGTTTATTGCCTTATTTAGCTTTCCATCTTCCTGCTTCCTCATGCCTGCTGTATTCAGCTTTCAAATTCAGCTGCGACTTAAGCATCTAGCCTTCCAGAGGTTTGTCCCGTGACAGCTGTTTGTCATGGTTCTGAAAACTGTGGGACTGCAGGGATGGGAATGGTTTTGGAGGTTGCAGTGCTTTTAACAAGAGCTTCATTTGGGAACTTCAGGTGTATTGTGGTCTGTAGAAGATTTCCTCTTGGAATTTTTTTAAATCAAAAAAAAAAGGGGGTTGGAACTGATGAGACCTGGTTAAGTCATACGAGTGGCAACAGCAAACAGATTGGTAGTTTGGAAATTGCATAAAGGCAGGAGCCAGATCAAAGTGCAGTGACAGCAACAGGTAGATAGACCTGTCAGGGACTGAAAGGTTGTGAGGCTGGCAAAAACTGCAGCACAGGTGAAGGAATTGAGAGGCAGCCTGATGCGTTTTGAGCACAGGGACAGAACTGAAGGACAGTAAGGAATGGCAGGAAGCGAATTTGATTGTGGAGTAGGCGGCATACAAGAAATAAAGCTCTTCTGCCTGGAGGCTGCATGGAGTGTGGGCTTTGTGGGCTGCAGGAGTTGTGGGGGCAGGTGAGACAGGAGAGAAGTGACCTACGCACCAGCGCAGGATCCTTCTGTGCCCTGCCAGCTGGACAGGCCAGGTCTGCCAGCAGGAAGGGACATGCAGATTTTGGTTGGGTGACTGGTTAGAAGAAATTAAAACAATCCAGTGGCATATTGTTGGGCAACACTGAAGAAGAAAGAAAAAAATATTAAAAATATGGTGCTTGGAGATACTGTAATCATGCTAAGCTTATATAGAACTAGTGAACCCTGCCTCTTAAGCTAAAGCAGTTTTCTGTTTCCATACAGCACATCCCTTATGACCAAAAAACCACAGGGCAGCCCTTATGGAAGAGCCATGCTGGTGCTTTTGAAAATGCAGAGCTACAGCTCTGTGGTTGGAGGGAACTGTGTAAGGTAGCCGAGGTGTGTTTGGGTAAAGGCAGCCAGCACATACAGAAGATCAAATAGCGCATGGTTAGTCAGCTGGCATGAACGCAGCACGCCTTTTTGCCTGGTTCATCTGGACGTTTAACTGCGGTGATGTGTCACATCAAGAAACACCTGTGTGCCACAGAAAATCCCTCTGCCACCTAAAGCTCTGGTGTCAGCGCTTACTAACTAGATCATGATGTTAGAAAACACCAACCTTACGCTGGCTTAACTATAGAGACCACTATTGGCGTAAAAATTGGTGAGCGTTTTGGAAACTGAAAGGTGTCAGTAACGCCATGGGAAATGCCCTGTGGGATGGTTGAGATCATAACAGAGTCCAGAGCATAGGAGTGTGTTTCCTGCTGGATGTGTGGCTGTGCATTCATTCCTGTGGCTGTGCAGAGAGGGGGCAAAATGACACCTTTGCCTCCTTCATAGCCATCAACAAACCCTTTGCATCAGGAGGAGAAAACAGGTCCTTGTGAAAGATATAGAAGCATCCTTCTCTGGTCTGACACAACCTGCAGCTGATGTTCCTGACGGGGATGTTGTTGTGAGGAGGGAGGGAGCACACTTGTGCCCTGCCTGCCCCAAGGAGTGTCGAGCCTGGGGCAGCTGGGTTCTGTGGGCAGCTGAACCCAGGTTGCAGGTATTTCTTGCTTTTGAATTTGCCCACTTCCCTAATGGTTGCATTATTGCTGGAGTGCTGCTCTGTGTGTCATCTCTGGCTTGGGATTGAACACATCATGGCTAAAAGTCCTCTGCCAGGCCTGGCCCACACATAACAGCTGGAGTGCAGTCAGTGGCCTGTCCCAAGCTATGGTGATGAGAAGGATGAACAAGAGAGTAAGGCTTTGGCCAGATCTTGGGACACTTGACCTCAGCATGTTTGCTGGAAGATCCCTGTGAGGTTCTGCACAGGCCACCTTGTTCCTGTCCCCATGAACGGGGACAGAGGCTGCTGACCTGCACTGCTTGCTACTTTCTGCCATGTGTGTACAGCAGGCTCTCGGGGCAGGGGTGTTTCCTCATGCCTTGTCGGTGCTGTGCCCATGGTGGTGTGGCTCAGAGTACAAATCTTGCTGATTAGAAAGATCCCTTGGGCCACAGAGCCAGACCTTGGATGGAACTTGTGTCAGCAGCTGGGGTGGAAGTGGTTTT